TCTTATTATTATATTTAATTTATTTAAAATGATTTATATTTCACTAATCTCTCTCCATCTCAAATGATGCGAATAAAATTGGCATATGTTAGTCTGTGGAAAGTTACGAAATCGCAATCGACAGATGGAAGACGAATGGCAACGTAGTTCCTGACCACTCCAATTCCCATTAACTTGCCTCTGGCGATATTAATAGATGTGAGTGCGAAATGTTCGCATAAGCGGCGTTCGTCAAAAGCGTGTTTGCAATAACTTTGTTATCCGCCTCGGGGATTGGTCTTTAGTATCGACGCACAGCGGTTCTATCGTTTATTTGACTAACGGGGTGAGATGCGTGGCCACTAGGAAACGGCCTTTGAAGTCAAAAGGTCGGATAAACTCCGGGAAGTTGCTTTCACCTTTATTTGAATATGTGACGTCTTTCCGATGAAAACTATCAATACGAATTATAAGACGCAATGAGAACAGAATAAATCATGACGAATTAGCGAAACGCATTGGATGTTATTTTAACTTATAGTGTGTTTTGATTCAATTCAACGAATACTATTATTAAATTAACTACATGCGACAGGAATCTCATAATTAATTAATACCGTAATAGCGCTATAAAAATTCACGGTAATATAATTTATAGCTGCGTAATAAAATCTTGGAATATGAATATTATATCATTAAAAGTCAGAGATTTAACTTATATTTACGATATGAAATCTATAAAGTATATTACTGCTAGAAATAAAATACGTAAAGCATAATTTTCGAGATTTACATAATACATGATAATCTGACAATTTATTTGAATACCCGTGTATAAAGTTACGCATAAATGTTTACTATCTTTCTGACAGGCATATTCATTTCCTCTCTCTCATAAAATTTACACAATGTAAGACATTTGAACTACGACAATAACCTACACTTAATACAATGTTTAACTTCTCATGTAATTTCGCATACTGCAACTTCTCGGAATATAGCTATATCTATGTCGCTCGTCTATTATCTTGTTCCTAGTGGTTTCGTTGCATTCTCGTGTAGATTGATGCCCGGTCGAGAAATAGTACATGCGTTAATTCCAGGAAGATTTTGCAGCTTCTGGCAGCTGGTGGTGATCTAAGAGAACTAGAAAATATGTGTGACGTTGCGTCTTCCAATCTTTCTTCTTTTAATCGATAGTTAACCTGAAAAATATATTTGAGATTGTATGACAAAAAATTAGGAATAGATATTCGAGGGAAGGAAAATGCAAAAATATTTTAACAGAGATATAAAATATATTAATAGTTAAATAACGTTTGATAAATCGAGAAATACTCTTTATTGAGAATCCTGCTTGATGCAATATGTTTTATACGAACGGCGTTTTCGTTACGAAGGCAGGATACCGTTTTCTTCGGAGAACCCTCGTAACAGATTGAAGAAGCTTCGGCGCTTGTCGTCCGTCAGACTCTATCGGAACCAAGAACCTTAACAGGAATATCGACGAATCGAAGTTCCTGCGGCTTGTACTCTGTCAGTGGACCTGATCGTCCCGCGAGACATTACATGCGCCATATTTTGCTCCAACGAGAGCGATGCTGCTCTCCTTTTTTTCTCTTTTCTTTCTCTACCCCGTTCATATCTCTTATTACCTCTCTGTTTCACTCACGCGCGAAATCATTCCACGATCTCTCGATCGAGGGATTTCTCGTGAATTCCCGTCCGCGTATCATCTCGCGTATCATCTCCGTTCTTGTCGTCGTCATTCTCGGTTATAGTCGCCACTCGAGGTGGAATCCTCCTCGCCCAAATGACGATGTCACTCTCGTGCACGACTCTCCATGTCGTACTATCATCGGCTTCTTATTCCTGTTCGTGCAGAACGAAAAGCGGAGAAGGGCAAAGAGAGAGAGGAGGCACATCGAGAACGCCGTGGCGGTGTACATGGATGGGCGCGCGAGCAACCGTCCTTAACGGAATTATTGCCATTAAGGTCGTTGCATTCCCGAGAGGCCGTCGTGTACGCGCCCTGGCATCCTACCGACGCAGAACTAATGATCTTAATTAACGTTTCGTAACGAAGGTCGCCCGGACTGTCCTCTTTCTTCTTCTTCTTCTCCATTTCTCCCTCTTCCCTCCCTAACCCTTCCTGGGCCCCTACTGTTTCTCTTTTTACCTTTCCGTCTTCGTGCCCTTCGCGGGTCCGCGCTTCTTCCACTTCGTCCTTTTCCCCTTCATCTCCTTCTTCTGGTATCTTTCTGCCTCCGAGTCGTCTTTCTCAACTTCGTAGTTCCCACCGCTCGTAGTTCACTCAGAATCCATTTCGCTTTATTCTTCTTTTTTTTCTACCCCCGGCATAATCATCAACCTGTCTCTTCTCTACTCTTTCTCTCTCCTTTCTCTTTACACCCTCTCGGCATACTCGTTCGTTTTTTCCGTTTCTACAAGGGTCTTCCTATACCTCCATAACTTTATTTCTTTTTGCTGTATATCTTTCTTTTTCATTCGTAGGATTACGTCGCCATGAGTTTAATACGCCGGAGCTTTAATTATTGCAATGGTGTTAACGTGTTCAGATTCGATTGTCATACCTACTATCTGTGATATACTTTTTCTTTTTTCTCATCTTCTTCATCTTTTTCGACGATTTTTTTTCATCGTTATTCCTTCATGGCACGGTATCGCATATCTCGTTTTCTTGTCTCTCACAAAGTTCCACCATAACGTCACGGGATATCATCATAATCTTGGTTTATTCTTTGTCACCTTTACGTCATTTCATACAATCATCATTCAATTATTGATTTTTTGTAATGAAGTTTTGTGCGTTATTACTATATGTCAGAGATATTTATTGTAATATATAATGTAATATATATAATATACTTGAAGTATAATATATACTTGAAGAGGAAAAGAGAAGAGAAATAGTAACTTTCATTGGCATAATAATTTCACGTCGTGTCGACCGCAATTGCATGGCATCAATACAATTACTATAATTCACTCGTCGTTAATAAATTACGTGTAATGAAGCTGACATCGCCACTTTTAGTAGCCACAATCGAATGAAACGTATACAGATCTTTAGCACTTTTTCCTTGTTAATTTATTGTTCTATTATATAATTCGTTGCATAGTGCGATCTGGTTATTCACATAGCGAACATGAAAAATTAGTAGTATTAAAGAAATTCGTTGAGAATGACAAATCTTCCGTGTTCAGACGATGTTAATGGGGTAAATCTGAATTCTCTGTAAATAGCGAAGCTCCGACTGATTTATGAGGCACGACGGTGTGCTTAAGAGAAATAAATTCTGATCCAAACACGAGCGATTAATCGCGAGGATCAAGGCTGCGTCGAGACACAACACTCGTGCTTATAGAACCGAGATTCTACGGATTTTAGAAGGAATGGATAAGCATCACGAGAAAGGAGAGCTGCCGTTTAATCTCACGCGAGAGCGTTCCTTTTTTAACATTGCGCACGGAAAGATATTGCGTAGCTAAATAACCAGCAACTCGGCCGCGGGATTTGTAGCTTCCGTAAATTATTCTGATCGTTTTCCTCTCTAGCGCGTGTCTTGAGGGAACGACGTTGTTTCGAGTTCCTTGCGGTTCACATGATTATATCGTTACTTTAAGTGTATTGAGTGTAGATAAGTCAATTAAACATGGAAACGTTTAGATTGCTGCTACTTTTTTATCATTCAAGAATAAGTACGCATAACGTTTATTTATTTAATTTATTTAATTAATTGTTATTCGATTGAAATATAAAATATTAGCTTTCAACAGCTTGCGTTGTGATGTATGCCATTGAGAAATTCGTTGTGGTTAAAAATTTTACCACGTATTGATTTTAATTGTTAATTAATTTATATAAATTAATTGTATTTATATAAATAAATTTTTTATTTATATCAGCATTTTTCTAATCTTATCACT